ACGCACGCACACGCACACACACACACACACACACACACACACACACACACACACACGCACACAGATAGAGAGAGCGAGAGAGACACAGAGGGAGACAGAGAGAGAGGGTGAGAGAGCGAGAGACAGAGAGGGAGAAGCGAGTGTGTGAGAGAGAACGTCTGCGGTACTGTGACGTCAGATGTCAAAGTTAAAGAAACCTATGGGATGCACGAATAAAGATAAAGACATAACAAGGAACGTACAGACAGCAAAGGCGCGAAGAAGATATCCAGGACAACCAACCGCATTTATTACCACCATATTAAATCATCGTACATGTTCTCTGAGGACTAACGACGACATGCACGAACGTAGCAACGCTATAGCGTTAAAATAGTATTAAAATATTTAAGAAATTAAATACACATATACTAAATTAAATACAAATATACTAAATTAAATACGCATATACGTATCATATTAGTCGATCTTTAGACGTGTACGCGACACGAAGCGTAAACTACACGTATTAGTCCGTGTCATACATTCATTTGCATTACAGATCGAATAATGAAAAATGCGAGAAAACAACATTCGTGGTTAACGTCAGACAACCGCTTTCCAGACAAAAAGTGAAGACGTCGAGAACTAAATTAAATAAGCTCTGTCTTCTCTGTGATAAGGTTGAAAGGAGAGACTACGCCCGCAGAATAGACGTGGACGTTGTGTGGTAACGCACACGAAACGGCAATTTCAATGGGTTAACTTAATCTCATTCGACACGCCACGAACGCGAAACGAAATATACTGCATACTTAAAAGTAAAACACTTAACACGGTGGGAAGCGAATGAGAGAGTGGAAAATATTTATATACTCTGAGCCTTATATAGATTCCGACCCAGGCTTGGCGCTCGGGGGGAGGGGGGGAGGCATCATCAGAAAGATACAGAAAACTAAACCAAGATAAAAAAGGATAAAAAGTAGTTACGAATGTTACGAGTCTAAGTTGTGAAAACTTATTGTCACAGACGTACGTATTTTATTAGACATCAGACAACGCCCCGCCCCCCATCGTCGTACGTACGCCACCAGCAGGTGGCGCTACAACCACGTAACAAGAGACGATTCAAGGTCATTTAGGGGACGAGAGCGTGTTCCTTAATTAATCATCGTCTTAATGACGAAGCAGTGCTAACCGGGCACGAATTGATTAAATACCTTGAGGATTACCTTCTTTACGTAATCCGCAGCTAAACAAAGACGACCATTTTTTTTCTCGGCATATTTGTCTGCTTTACTTTTTCTCCCCGTACACACTCTCAGTGTGTGTGTCTCTCTGTCTGTCTCTCTCCCCGTACACACTCTCAGTGTGGCTCATAGGGTCTATGTCCCCCAGGGTACTGCCGGAACGTACCCTGGGTACGGTCCGGTATACCGGAACAGACCCTGGTCACTATTTGATATGGATAGGGTTAGGATTAGGGTTAGGATTAGGGTTAGGGTTAGGGTTCGGGTTAGGGTTAGGGAGTAGGCGTAGGCGACTCCCTAGAGTCGTTAGTGGAGTAGGCGAGGTACGGTCCGGCATATAATATAATACCAGGGTACGTTCCGGCAGTACCCCGGGGGACATAGACCCTCTCAGCCTCAGTGTGTGTGTCTCTCTGTCTGTCTCTCTCCCCGTACTGACACACAACGACATATACGCACAGCGACGAGCCATCCTACCTCAGTGAAGGCTTTACCTGGTGACGACCCCGTTAGGTTAATTACCGCTCTTAATTAATTAATGTTCACAAACACCTGGCGACGCTTGCATCGGGGGAGAGAGGGAAGGTCGGTGGTGGGAGGGGGTAAGAGTATATTCCTCCTAATATGCGAGATTCTAGCGGCTCCCCCCCCCTTCCCCCGTGAGTATTCTAAAATCTTTTCGAGAAAAACAAATACGAACATTACGAGATCCTTTGGCACATTATCGCACTCTCGAAAAGAAACCCAATCGAAAATTTTGGGAAAAAGAAAAAAAAAACAGAATAAGATCACAGAAACGACATATTTTTTCCTGCTAAAAGCCAGGGGGAGGGGAGGAAAGAAATATCCTATCCACCGGGGTTGTTTCGCAACCCCCACGTAATAAGGCCTAAAAAAATAAATGATGTGTTTCCGAGAACAGTCTTGAAAAAATTAGGTAGCGTAGGGTAGGGATTTTAAAAAAAAAATAAAAAAACCCGAAAATGTCCAGTGTTTAGAGGTGAGGTGAGTACCATATTCTAGAAGTTTATGATTTATTTTTTGATTGATAATTGATTTTTGAGAATTGATAATTGATTGATTGATTTTTATTTTTTATTTTTTTGATACATTTTTATTTAATTTTTTTGAAAATGGAGAAAAAAAAAGGGTCGGCCCCTATTTGCTAGGTAGGGTCGGGTTCTCGGAAACACATCTTTTTTTTTTAGGCCTAAGCACCCCTAGCATCTATCACTACTACTACACGCTAACACGCATATATAGACTCGCGTCTAATACGCTACACACTATGACGCGGACACTTGTTAATACGCTGCGAATCGCGAGCACCTGCGAGGGGGCGCCACCGCGCAGCGCGAATCGCTCGTCGACTAAGCTAGGACTAGGCTGTGACCTGCTCCACCGGTTAACCCTCGCGCAACAAGAGAACGTGCGCCAGAGATTCTACGCGAGTGGCGATGCACGATAACCGACGACGATAAAAATCAACATGAGAACGTGCGCGACGGGACGCGTCACGGTGACTCGCCTTGCAGCCGACGGACGCGTGACCTCTGCAACGAGTCTCCTCCTCCCCGTCCAAACGTTCGCACTCTCCCTCTATCACTCTCTCTCTCTCTCTCTCTCTCTCTCTCTCTCTCTCTCTCTCTCTCTCTCTCTCTCTCTCTCTCTCTCTCTCTCTCTCTCTCTTCTTTTCCCTCTTCCCTCTCTCTCTCTTCTTCTTCTCTGCTCTCTTTCTCTCCCTCTCTACTCTCTCTCTCTCTCTTCCTCTCTCTCCTCTCGTTTCCCTCTCCCTCTCTCACTCTCCCCCCCCCCCTCTCTCTCTACCTCTCTCACCCCCTCTTCCTCTCTACCTCTCTCCCTCTCTCGCTCTCTCTCTCTCTCTCTCTCTCTATCTCTTCTTTTCGCTCTCTCTCTCTCTCTCGTTCGCTCTCCTCTATCATCTCCCCTCTGTCTCTCTGTGTCTCTCTCACCCCATTCTCTCTTCTCTCTGTCTTCTCTACCCCCCTCTCTCTATCTACTCTCCCTTCTCTCCGCTCTCTCTCTCTCCTCTCTCGTCTCTCTCTTCTCTCTCTCTCTCTCTCTCTCTCTCTCTTCTTTCTCTCTCTCTCTCTCTTCTCTCTTCTCTTTCTTCTCTTCCTCTCTCTCTCGTCTCTCTCTCTCTCTTTCTTCCCTCAGTCTTACCCATCTCTCTCTCTCTCTCTCCCTCTCCTCTCTCTCTCTCTCTCTCTCTCTCTCTCTCTCTCTCCCTCTCTCCTCCCTCTCTTCTCTGTCTTCTTCCCCCCTCTCTCTCTCTACTCTCTCCCCCCTCTCTCTACCGCTCTCTCCCCCCTCTTCTACCTTCTCTCCCCTCTCTCTCGCGCTCTCTCTCTACCCTCTCTCCTCTCCCTCTCCTCTCTCTGTCTCTCTCCCCCCCCTCTCTCTCTCTCTACCTCCCCCTCTCTCTCTCTGTCTCTCTCCCCCTCTCTCTTTCTCCTACTCCCTCTCTCGTCTCTCTTCTTCTCTCTCTCGTCTCTCTCTCTCTCTCTCTCTCTCTTCTCTCTCTCTCTTCTCTTCTCTCTCTCGCTCTATCTCTACTCTCCTCTTTCTCTCTCTCTCTACTCTCCCACTCTCTTCTACCTCTCTCATCGCTCTAGCTCTCTCTCTACCTCTCTCTATATCTCTCATGGTGTTCAGGCGACGAGGCGAGCGCAGGGCCACGCCGGGCAGTGCGTCCTCTCTCGTGGGCCACGCACGTTGTCAGGCACGGGACCCCGCACCAGCTGCGGGTCCGAGCCCTTCCGCGAGCCGGGTCCGGTCGGACACGCTGACGTACTCGTCCCTAACGAACGACATCGATTAATTAGGAGACTGGCGTTAATTATATTATTAAGCGAGAGAGCCTGTTACGCATGCGGATGGGTGCGAGATGGCCGTCATTGAGAAACAGAGAGAGCGCACTTGACTGTGTGATTATAGTAATATAGTTGTAATGAAATATGAAATAGCAAATATAAGATAGTATAAGATAGTAATATAAGATAAAAAGTATAAATCGTAATATAAAAAGTATAAATCGTAATATAAAAAGTAGTTTCCCAGGAATGAAGGTGGACATTATCAGGAGGGCGGCTGTAGCCTCAGGGAGGGGGGGACGTTCACATCTCTCCCATAGGAGTAACAACTGTATGCAATTTGAAACATGTGGGTCAAATGGTTCTCAAGTTATCGTTGACCGTAGCCAAATGTTGACGACACCCCATGGCAATAGCTCATCTTGATGATGTCAAGGTGAGCTAAAAAATAAGCTTAGCTAATAATCGTAAATAACCCTAACGTGATTTTTTTGGTCACTTATCCGTGAAAGCCATGTCTCAGACCCACCACCCATACCACACTATGGACGTCGATCAAGAGCTGCGCCCGTCGCTCATCATTACACAGTTGAGTCATGAAATTTTGCCCCCCCCCCTCTAGGAATTTGCTCAGCCTACAGCCCTGGAGGGGGTTAGTACTTACAGCAGTAAGGAGGCATCAGGCCCATGCCTCAGTGCAGGGTTGGCACCCTTCGGCTGCATACACAGAGCAGACTTGTACTGCTTCTGCTTCTGCTTCTCCGTCGATTCGCTACAAAAAACACGCGATAATCAGAACAATAGCAGATTCACGCGCAACTCACCCATGATTAACTCAAATTAAAATAGAAAAATAAACTTTCATAAATTAAAATTAAAATTAAAATAAATAAAAAATAAACTATAACGTAAAATCCAATTTCGGAGTCACCGTCGATATAATCGAAAGCGGGAGCGAAAGATTTACTTATAAAGTACATTTTAGACGTTTACGTTACCGAACGAGAGTTGTGCGGTTTTACGGAAAGAAGGAGACTCGGCGATTTTCACGAACCTTTCTTGCTTGCATTTTAGAGGTTTATGTAATGCGGGTTTATCATGTTATATCATGCCATATCTATAGCTAGATCACACTACGCCACGCTACAGCATGTTATATCATGCCATATCATGCTACATCATGCTACGCCACACTATGGCATGTTATATCATGATATATCATGCTACGTTATACTAAGAGGTTTACTGAACAGCGATTTTCACGAACCTTTCTTGTTGCTTGTCCGTCGCAGTTTGCTTTTGATCTATCGCTCGTGGTTTCTGTGTCCTACCTATGTCGCTCCTGCGAAATTCACGTACGGTGTTTTATTTTTATTGTTTAAGTGTCGAAATTCACGAGTTTTCAAAGAAGTCAAACTTTTCTTCACAACCGCACAAACAATCAACTCGCTCACAAAAACTGCAAAAGTAACCACCGCACAGCAAACACATTAAATTCATTTCACGCATATCCTTCCCCCACCACCCCTTAATTCCCTTTCGAGCTTTTATTTACAACAACAAAGAAATCGCGCACGGGTGACCCCCCACCCCCCAATTCCATTTTAGCTTCACAACAACAGAAAAATCGATCACACCCACCCACCCATACACACACACACACACA